TCAACTGTGAGGTATTTTTCTTTTTTTTGACTGTGAAATAAAATGCCAGCAGCAGTAGACAGAACAAAAAAAAATTGGAGTTGCTTTGCTACAAAAATGTAAATTGAAATGAGTGCCTAAGTGGAATACGCCACCGCTGTAGCAGGAGTACGAAAAGGTGAGCGCATGAGTGAAGGTAGAGGGACTGAGGTCGGCTAGCGAGGGACCAAGATAGGACCAACGGACGACGGACAACAGACCCGGCAGACAGACTTACACAGGACAATTCAGTCGATTGGTTTCATTCTTTTCTTTTTGATCTTATACATATTTACTCTTTTTTGTAATGCGGTACAGTGGGCAAAAAGAAAGAAAAAAAAATTTTTCAAATTGCTCTTCTGACCAAAAGCTAAACAGCGTTACAAAGTGAATAATGAAGGTCCCTGTAAATATAAATTTTTCTTGTGTTTTCCTGGACCAGTGAACTGCCCCAGCCCCAGAGAATGGGCCGAAAGGCACTCACAATATATACATTAAGTATTATAAGTATTACACCATGGCAAAAGTTCCGGACAGAATTAGTGAATTCACAGATTTTTATGTGCTCGCTGAATTTGTTAAACATTATTTGGGCCTGTCCGGAACTATTAAAGCCGCCTTTCACGTACGTGCCAAAGTTTTTCAATACTGGCAAAACGCCCAAGTGCAATTAACGAATATTTACATATACGTATATTTCCAGACATTCTGTACATTATTTTAAAAGCGCATTGGCTTTGTTTTGCATTCCGAACATTTTTTTGTGACATATTGCTCATCATGCCTAGGCTACAGGATCGTAATTGAATGGATGATTTTTAAACTATCAGCTAATCTCAAGACCACAACTTTATTTTCGGTTATTAATCTGTTCTTTAATTTACTCAGTCTCTTTACCACACTTTATAGCACTTCTAACGATTTAAAATACCAAGCTTCACAAAAACATCTTAAATGAACGACGGCTATAGATACGCGTTTCCTTGTTTAAATTATTTTATTATTGTTTTATTCATATATATATTTGTTTTTTCACTCACAGGACGCACTATGGTGATCTAAACGACTTTCTTTTATGCAGATTCAAATAATTAACTAATTTTTTGCAACATTTTTTAATTCAGTTTCGCAAAAAAACGAAATGGACCTTGTCAAGTAAGAAATTTGTGGATGGACATTGGACTTAAGAAATTTGTTACCTGTTTTAATCCCACGTAATTCCTTGCTAGTTCTCGATGTCATGAGTTTTTGACATGTCGCTGTCATAATCTTCCCTGGCAATATTTGTTCTTCCCAGAATCGCGGAAAAAAATATATTTTTTTTTTCATTTCGTTGCAGTATAAAACCTTTCGTAATGGCTTTATGCACCATTTTTGTTGTTCATGTTTAATTTTGATATTGTTTATACCACTACAGAATGTTTTACTTAAACTTCATATTTCTTTGCAGTCTAGTCCAACGTCGCTTTGATCAATGGCTTTCGCTCTTGTTACTTTTACTTGTTTTACTACTCTTTTGCTTTCTTATTTCAATCGCATCTGTGGACATTCCCGAAATAGTTTCGCACAGTTATTGTTTTTTCTTGGTTTGTGTTTATTATTTCGTTATGCGACTACGTCTTTCATATACGCGATTGTTTTTTTTTGTTGTTTGACCGTTTCACATATTTTTTCCTTGTAACGGGCTTTTATTAAGGAATCGTTTTTTTTTTTCAAATTTTATTTTGCGGTGTTGCAGAAAAATCGGGCGTCAGGTTCCTCCACAAGAAAAATTTATTTTTTCCTCGGGACATTTCGCCTGATTTCTTTTTTTCATTATTTATTTTACTTACTTCTGCCGCTGTGGATATGCTATGCCTCTGGGTGATTTAATAATTTCTGTACCGTTTAGATTAACCTGTGAGGTCAAAACGAGGGACAAATTTGTGACCTGTGTAAGTTGTGGCCACATCTACATAAAGAAAAATTAACGTATAATCAACAATTTAAGAGGTCATTGATTTGCATATTTAGCACGTGATTTATTCTTAAAGTACGAACTTTGCTCTTATAATTACTGTATTATACCTACCATTGAAGGATGGGGTATACTCATTTGGTGTTTTTTTTCATAATGCATGTGACACCCGAAAGACCCTATAAAGTATATACATTCTTGATCCGCGAAAAATTTCAGATTGATTAAGCCATGCCTGTCCATCTGTGTGTCAGTGTGGTGTTCGTTGTTGGCACTCGCAAAAATGAGAATGTGCGCTTCAAATTTGATAGAAATGTGGTAAGTTTTTGCACGCAGGTTGTTATTGGAAATGGGGCAATTTTCTCAGAATAGAAGCCCGCAGAGGAGCATAAATTGAATGCAACTTTGTTTTGCTGTTCGTTACTCAGAAATTATAAAAGTCAGAAGATTGAAATTTTCCACACTTTCTTTACGAAACGCTCTACTCTTTACATGCAAAAATGGAAATAGTTGGCTTTGCCCACACAAGCTCACAGATGATTAAATTTTATTTTTTTACTTTTTATAACTGTTATGCTTATTTATCATAGCTCAAACAAGATTGAATGTTTAAAACTATTTTGTACACTCCTTAAAAGTAGATATATTATTTGCCTAAAAATGCGTTAATTCTAAAACAATATGGCAGATATCGCGATTAATTTTTTCCTAATAATACAATCGATGTGGGTATCAAATAAAAGAACTTTAAGAATAGAATAGAGTTTCATATCCCGCCAAATATAACTTTCTTACTTGCTTTTAATACTATTTTGCTTGTAGAGCCGATAGCCTGTGTCGCTAGTGCTCAATGTCTTTTTTTTAGTCTAAGAATTCAATTCATTAGTCTAAAATTAAAATAATAACAATAATATTTTGCTTGTAATTTTTACGTTAAATTAAAAGGAATACATATAGTGAATATACAATTATAATAAACCTTGTTTAAATGTGAAAGGAGAAAAATGAATTAAAAAGAGTTTTTCCATAGATGGGAGGAAGGCAATTTAGAGGGGTCATCGGACTCAACTTCGGAGTCTTCCATAGGGATCGCGGGCCGAAGGAGACTATTACGTAGGATAGGGTGCTGAAAGGACCAAGGCTTGGAGTATGCCCTTGCGTTAAGCTAAATTCCGTCCGTCCGTATATTCTACTCAGCCTACGATTACAAGTAACTGGCACTGGTCAGTTGCCCTAACCAAAGTGTTGAAGACCATTTCCGACGATTCCTTTTGATCAGACATCAGTTACGATTCACAAACAATTTGTTTTTTTTCCCGCTTTACGGGGTTAAGCTGTTTTTTTTACCCTGCATGGGCGTTTTCGCGAAAGGCTTCGGGCGGAATGGCCCGAAATTAATGCAGTCAGATTGTTCGGGTTTTCTGACATGGGGGTAAGAAGCCGTAAGTTCAGTAATGCTTCCGTCTCAATCATAACGGTTGCTAATTTCTCGTATGTAAATGCGGCGTTGCCAACATTTGTTTCGAAAAGATTCTTGGCAGATTTGACAGCTACTTCCCAGAGACAGCCAAAATGTGGAGCCGTTGCCTTGTTGTTAAATATTGCTAGGTTCAATTGGATTAAACGATTATTTCCCTTTCGTCTACAAAGGGGTTTAGTGGATTCAGTCGGTTACTTTTGCTGATGCAATTCCGAATGAATCGCGTTTTGTTTTATAGCATATAGTATAGTATAGCATTGTGTGCCTCGCACTGTGTTTCTAAGGATGAAATGGTTCGTCCGGATCCTGGCACTTCTTCCATTTGCCAAAAACATTGTACATTATATTGAAGTTCATTTACTGCACACGTGGCCTGCTATACATTTTTTGTAGGAACGTTTCCTGCCATTATCCAACCAAAGACTGTGTCTTAAAGTGTGGGATGGTCGTTGTGCAGTCTAATTTTTCTGACCTTTAATATTCCTAAAAATAGCTCAGCGCCAATCAGTATGTCTGCGTAGTTAGGTCTGTTGAATAGCGGTTAGAACTATATTGCTCCAGCCGGTTGTCTCCAAGAAATGATGGGGTTGTTTGGGTACAAATTTGAAAGTACGCAAGCCTCGAGTCAAGTGAAATAATTTCTAGATCTTGAGCGTATGGTTACGTTAATTCTTCCCTTAGCCTTATTCCTGTTGTTGATAGTGCCTTGAATTTGCGTGGCAGCGGATGTTAGAAATAAACCCAACTGCTGATCGACCCTTTTGGTGATGATGTTGATTTAATTATCCGTAATCTAATATTGTTCGGTTATTAATTGACCACCCATTGTCAGCTATCACTGTCAAACCTACCGGGCTTAGCACGATAGAACGGGAAGGATTCCGTGGCACAGAGGCAAACAAGGCTAAAGATGCAGCTGCCTATCCATTCGGTGATTGACTGACAAGGGGTTCTGAGTAAACTATTATCTTAACATTCCGTTATTGTTACGCTTCACGTGTGTTATTACAATCTTGATTGTTGCCTTTTTCCAGTGGAGTAACGTATGGTGACGATCCATTTTTTACCGCTTCTATTATTGTTATTTTGTTATTAGTATGTCTAAACACTTATAGCAAGCATTTTGCATTTCTATTATTTAATCGCGTTGTTGAACCTTTGCTTTTAGAATTATTGGGCATATTTGTACATAGCGTCACTTATTACAGGTAAGGCATCCCGTTGCAGATAGTTCCAAATGTTTCTACAACCCGAAACTCATTCTGCAGGAATTTCAAAAATTTCCTTAAAGTTAACAATGCTCTTGAATCTTCAACCTACTATTCGAAAAGTAAATCAGTCGTCTTGTCAAGTTTTTTACTAGAATTGGGGTTAAACGTGGATGCCAGCTGTCGGTTTGGACCTACAAAATTTTTAATGCCATGATACACTTATTAGCTACATCTATGATTCACTCTTTTATTGTCATACATATCGTGCAGAATTTTCCTTGTGGTATCATAATTTTCTTCTTTGGGATAAAGATGACATATTAGACGCTCTGCATCTTTTATAAAATTGGGCTTCAAATGTCATATTTTCTCAATAAGTAGTTGTGCTCAAGTTCTCGGAAGCTCATGGCGTTGGCTGTGTGGGCCTTGGTTTGTTCACTAATCGGAGATTACGCTGTACATCTGTCATTACATTATGGAATATGTTGCTGATATTTGCAAATATATCCGTTGTGTGGTAGGAATGGTCATCTTTTGATTATGGATGTCAACGTATTTGGTTGTTCTGATTATGGGAGATCTTCCACGACACTTGGAATTCCTTCTCCTTTTTTTGCAGGCATTCGAGAATTTCTCCAACCTTTGGAGCCTTTTTGTAGATTGGTAGTGTGTGGAGTTCGAGACCTTGCCCATTCTGTTGATCAAATGTTGCGTTGTACGGGTGTGGTAGACTACTCCTTTCAATGGTTCAAGTGATTTTTATGTTGTCTGCGATATAAAAACAAAAAGTTCAGTTAACAACCAGTCCGCAATCAAAATCAAATCAAAATGACGTCGAGGGCACCACATGTTAATACTCTGTCTTATGTGTCACACAAGTACATAAACTTATGTAAGCTATTTTTTTTGAGGAAATGGCGTTCAGGCACTTTAAACAGAACTCCGTGAGGAAACAATTCAATTCGTGACCTTAATTTTAAGTGATAATTTGCAAAACTCACTTAATATTAAAACATGTAGCCATCTTATTTATGTTTAAAGAAAAACTTTTCGTTTTTTTACCAGTCTAGACAGGCATTATTTCTATTTACAATGTCACGCACTTGTTTTAGAATACACACGTAGTTGTTTTGCGTTTCCTAAAAATCCCACGGTAGCTTACTAGGTGATTGCTTAATAAATAGAAAACCAACCACCTCTGTAGGAATAGTATACTGATGTCTAAATATATGATTTAAGAAATATATTTACAGATTTATTCGTACACATTCGCATAAGAAAAATTCGCATATAAAAGATTTCTTTACTTGTGAACCTATTCGTATACGTTAATACTTTACCCAGTCTGGATAAAACATTAGGTCACATACAATACGTCTCCGACAACGATAAGGTCGCATTAAGCTACAAGTTGGGATGATCGTCTATCCTCGCTTTTTAGGACCGCCATTTTAACTTATTGGCCCCAGCTATCAATAAACACGTTCTCCATAATTTTTTTTCATTTAGTTTTGCAGGCTTGTTATTGTTTACCATATGTGGTTTGTTCATGTAAAATGAACAAACGTCAATTCGTCTTTCATTTCTCACGCCTCTCTCAGTTATTAATGCATTGTAATGCAAAATTTAACGGGAAGTATTAGAAAGTTGGCGAGAATGTTACAAGATTAGCCTCTGGATGAGAATCATTTATATCTCAAAAAAAGTAGAAAAATGTTTATTACCCCCTTAGATATACAATATACAATATTTAAGTCTTCTATTACATGTTTTATTTTAAATTGTAAGGTATAACCAATGACCCACAAGATAACCGGTAAAAAATAACTGGAATTGCACACTTTTTGTTGCTTGCGCTTTTCAGTCTTACAAAGAAACAGTCTCTCGTTTGCAGATATAGCGTATATCGAAGAATGGGGTGGGATTTGAGTCTTTAGTTATTTTAGTTAAATTTTTTTTAATCTGAGGCATATTTTCTTTTCCCACAGGAAGATCCGAAATCTCAACCCAAGCTTCCGAGTTAATTGAACGAGTTAAAGGGTACGGACGTGATTAGTCTAACTATTTTGTAGTATTACTATAAGTAAGCGATGAAGTTACATGATTAGAACTTGCTATAAACCAGTTCACTTCACTCAGGCGGCAGGGAAGAAGTAAAAAAAAGTGTTTACGGTCTTTACAAACTCATTTTAAGTATTTGGTTACGGCAAAATCGTCTTAAGATATACTTCCCTTCCATGAACGGATGTTGACTAAACACTTTAAGTGTTAATTTTAATATTTAGCGCAAAAATGCTCCATATCTATATTGGTGCTCCATAATTGTTAAATTAGAAGATAATACCCTACACCATAAATTCTAAATAATACCTTAAGACACGCCGATAGACGTCGACAGAATACTGGGACGCGACTTTCTACCAAATTTCCATTGTAATGTTAATTATTACAGATACATCCTCACCAATGTCAACACGAGAAATACTCTCTTCCCCTAATAGAAAACACCATAAAACATATTCATGTACGGGCAATATCAGAAATTATCGTACCATACAGAATAAACACACTATAAGATAGCGTTTTTTGTACTAGACAAATCACTATTGGCCTAGCGAACACCGTAATACCAGCAAAAGGAAACTGAAACCCAACTGAAACAGCTGTTCTATTTCAATTAAAAACCTAAAAATTGAAACACTACCTTCTGAAAATTATAAAATAACCTCTATTAATAAAATACACAAAAACTCAGACGAACGTTCCAAAAGCTCCTAAGTGTTATAAGCCTCGACGTAGTAATCAGAACTGTCAAATGTGAACTTATCAAAACTTTACAGGAACATCAAAACATATTTCACTTCAACACGAACAATGAACAGCAAATATTTTTTTAGACAACACAAAGACCTACATGGCAAAACAACAGTATCCACCAAAAATTACAGACTGTCACATTCCCAAAGTAATCACATTAATAATCAGTTCAATGAACTGTTACAATAGAAGATTATAGGACTATCTGTCAGCTCTTACAACTCACAGCTACTTCTAGGCCCCAATAAGTAAAACACTTATGAGAAACCATGGGGATTAATTGTTGACTACAGAAAACTAAATGACAAAATTGTAGATGACAAGTTTCCATTAACACGAATAGAAGACATACTGGATAGGTTAGGCAAAGCTAGACATGAAAAATTCTTTCCATCAATTAAAATTAGACGACTATTCCAAGCCGCTCGTAGCCATTTCGAGTAACAACGGCCTTTATCAGTTTACGAGATTGCCTTTCGGCTTCAAGTTATCGGCGAATAGCTTCCAACGTAATAGCTTCCTGCCTAATATAGCAATATTACATAGCGTTTGATGATCTCCACCAAAAACTAATGGAGCCCCAATTATCCAATATGTAGACCATAATAAACCTTTCATTCTCACTACCGATGCTTCAGAAACACCTTTATGTGCTATCCTTTCTCAAGCGGAAATCGGCAATGACTGACTAGATCGCTAAACGTACGTGAGAAGAATAAATCAATTATTAAGAAAGACCCTGCAGATCATAGGCCACTCGTCGGATCCTTCACATAGAAAAGTACCTCATCAAAATTGGCACGGACTACACTAGAATTGTCTGATTACGATTTCGATATTTTTTATACAAAAGGAAAAAACCATGCTAGTGTTGATAGTGTCTCACATCGAATTAAACTCGGGCATATTAAAAACCATGATATCTTAACAATTAGATAATAATGCAAAAAAACTTTATTAATTATGCGTAATATGTCCAAAAAAGCAAGGAATATTCAAATACTACGTAATAGACGATAGAAATAAATCAAAAGAAATCAAATTTCAATTCAATTTCAAGAAAGTAAAAATACTTTGATAAATAATAATAAACTTATTGCTTTTTATTTGTTTCTAATTACTTCATTACTCTGCTGGGATACGTGCAATTGACGTTGCGGTTCCCATACGAAACTTAAATTACTTTCAATCAATAGGCTAGAACGGGATTATATTTTGCGGGATAATAAGCATTTAATTGAATCAACATCAGCGCTGATGTAATAGACACTGTAGTGGGGGAAAAAAAAAGAAAAGGCACACTTTGGCAACTTTGGCAAAGCGACAAGCGGCGTGAAAAAAAAAGAAACTTTGGCAACTTGGAGAGAAAAAAGAAAAACAAAAAAATGCGGCTTTCGTGAGAATTTTGCTTGTAAATTTTTTTGGAATAAAATTGAAATTCATGCCGTGCTTTTGCTACTTCAAGACAAGTAATTTCAGTGAATGATAATGAAAGTGAATTTATAAGAATTAGAGAAAGAATAAGTCCCGAATAGTTTTATTGGAAAAATATGAAAAAATTGCAAACTGAAAAGGCGTTGATAATTTTAGTAAAGCCGGAATAACTGGAACGCTATTCATTGTTCACATACAAAAGCACAAGGTCACTAAGGTCAAGGAAATTTGAAGTTACACAAAAGTGCAAAAAGAAAAAGAGCGAAAATCAAGAAGTACTAACGTTCGCGTCAGACGGCTGGAATCAACGGTCGCTAGGTTGTGGCCAATAAAACTTGGAGGATGAATGTGCAGTTCATTAATGCAAATGAGAGGGAGAAAACTTTTAAAAAAGAAAGGTTTTTTTAGCTAAATTGTTGGTCGGCTGCGGGTGTTGTACGAGAGTCCTTTAAATGAAAGGAGATTAATTGAAATTAAAGAAAAGATAGCTATTTATGTTAAACAAGGGAACAATATAAGAGTTTTTCTAAATTTTATATTTTTAAATTCTAAATTTTAATTTTCATAAAAAAAAAAACGGACAAACAATGTCTTCGTACATTTTTAAGAACTGTGTCTTATAAAAAGGGAAGAAAATCTCAAAGCCCAAAAAAAAAAAAGTAAGAAAAAAAGAAAAGAACAGAAAGGGGAAAAATTGACAAGCTAATGTAAAAGAAGGAGTGTAAAACATGAAAGTATCAATAAAGCATTAAAGGAGCATGCCTCTTGTCATGAAACTCTTTTTCTTTTTCCCCGCCGTCGAGGATTTCAAAATTTTTCTTTAGACAAAGAAAGAAAAAAAAAAAAAAATAGATAAAATAAAATAAAAAAAAATGAAATAATAAAAAAACAAACTAAATAAACGAAAAGGTCTGGTCAGTTTCCGGCTGTGCGTCTGTCGCCAGTGAGTCAGTCGGTCATCGTCTAGCGTCGGCCCTACATGGCCACCATGTGCACGCCCCTACACCTCAGCCACAGCGGTGGCAGCGCACGCTTAGCCACACATGGGTAACAACAAAATTGAATAGCTTAAAAGAAAAGGTAACATAACTTACAGTACAAGTACGGTGGTGGTGATCGTTCACTTGATGACTATTACTGCTTCCACTGTCGGCTGCAGCTGTCACAATGCCCCCAATAAATGGTCGCCGTTGCTGTTGCTTCTGCCGTTCTACGGGTGAATCTCTAACAACTGCAGGCGGATGCTTCACAGGATAACCAAAGGCTGAGAATGGTGGATGCGGCACCCTATCGGTGATTGCCGGCTGTGGCCGTAAATGCTGCTGATAATTAACACGTCGCTGTTGCTGTCGCTGTTCACCTTCTTTTGACTTTATTTATTTCCTTCGCACTATTTCCGTCACTCCTTAATTCTAGGACGTATGGTGAAGCAGGCCCGAGAGAAAAAAAAAAAAAAAACACTCACCAAATTGTTACCACAGTGCCGAATAGAGCAAACACCTTGTTAATTTTTGCTT